CGCACGCCTGTAGTTCCAGTTACTTGGAAGGTTGAGGCGGAAGGATGGCCAGAGCCCAGCAGGTCGAGGCTGCGGTGGCCGGGAGCGGCCACTGCACTTTAGTCTGGGCGACAGAGTGAGACTCCAACTCAAAAAAAAAAAAAAAAAAAAAAAAAAGGACTAACGAATCTACTTTAATAGCAGGGGGAAATTATATGGAGAGTGAAGAGCCTACAGGGAACACCCTGGGGCTGGAAGTTCAGATGTCAATAATCAGACACCAAGATTTTAACCTGGGTCAAGTTTATTTAGTAAGGTCAGCGGTGAGGCCAGTTATCACCATCTTATTTAAACTAAAAATTCGTGGGCCACAACACATCACATGCTTTTATGGAATATGGAAACCACCTCTGATTGTAAAAGGCAGACAGAGATTCAGCAAGGGATCAAGAGAGTGGAGCAATCAGAATATTCTCTTCTTCAGGGCAAACAGCCGTGAAAGATCCAGAAGATTCTTTTTATTTGGTGATCATAGTTCCACCCTATCTCCTGGCAGTCCTCTGCACCCCTGCTATTGACCATCAGCAGTGAATTGGGGTCACTGCTATAGGCAAGGGTAGTGAAGGTTTTTTTGTCTTTTTGTTTTTTGAGTTGGAGTCTCACTCTGTCTCCCAGGCTGGAGGTCCATGGCCCACTCATGGCCACCGCAGCCTCGATCAGCTGTGCTCAGGCAATCATTTAGCCTCAGCCTTCCAAGTAGCTGGAACTACAGGCATGTGCCACCACAGCCGGCTAATTTTTTGATTTATTGTAGCGATGAGATCTCGCCAAGTTGCCCAGGCTGGTCTTGAACCCCTGGGCTCAGGCAATCCCCTCACCTCAGTGGTAGTGAAGGTTTAAAAGCAGTACCTGTGGAGACAGGGAGAGCCCCTTTCAAAAGAAGGACCTCCTTGTTTCCAGTGCTGACTCCTGGAAGCTCCTCTAGAAAGCAGTCTTAGTAATCATGGCAGGTAAAGGTCCAAGTGCACATTTCAATATTGGGGCTTAATACAACAGAGAACATTTGAGAGAGACGAGGAGACTGAAGGTTTAGAACAGGGAAATGGATTAAGTATTGTTGCCGTGGCTTTCAGTAGTGGTTTATTTCTCTTTGGTGCTGGACCAGGGACAGAAGGAGGACTGATGGTTAGCAAAGTCATCAGCCACAAAGTGAGCCTTTGACATGTGTGAATTCTGATTTAGAAAGTTTGGAGGAGGGAAGGAAGAGGAAAACGGAGCTGGCAAGGGAGGGAGTAGAAAAGGTAGGCCGCCTGGAGAGAAGAGGTGCCCCCCCGAGCCCCGCCCACTCTGCCTGGAAGACAGGAATTCCAGTTCCCAGGACCTCACACTCTGCAGCTGGGTTGGGCCTCCCTGAAGCGTTCAGCCTTGCATCGCCCAGGCAATCCTTGGCAGTTCTCCTCGAGAATGCCAGGGGAGGGTGCAAGGCCAGGATTCGAGGCTTATCCTGCAGGCTGTTTTCTCACCCTCTGAAGAACTTGTCATTCAAGTGGAATAAATAACACTTCCAATTTTTATCTGGTTTTACAACTTGAAAAGACAAAAATTACAACATTTGAAAATACGTGGATTTCTCATTTTTGTCAATGAGCTGAAGCTAATCTGTGGTTGCAAATAAGACTCATAGAAACTTAATCTGGGGACACTGGTGCACAAATGACTTTGTAGTCTAGTAAATACAAACTCTTTTTCACATCTGTACCTGTAACCAAAATGAGGGATATGTTCAAAGTATAAATATTTGCTACCAGGAATTTTTAGAAAACACTTTTTTTTTTTTTTTTGGCAGAGTCTCACTCTGTCTCCCAGGCTGAAGTGCAGTAGCACGCTCACGGCCACCTCAGTCTTGACCTGCTGGGCTCAGGCCATCCTTCCACCTGAGCCTTCCAAGTAGCTGGAGCTACGATGAGCAAACCCATGCATGGCTAATTATTTTTTATTATTTATTGTAGAGGTGAGGTCTTGCCAAGTTGTCCAGGCTGGTCTTGAACCCCTGGGCTCAGGTGATCCTTTTGCCTCTGCCTCTCAAAATGTTGGGATTACAGGTGTGAGCCACCATGGCCAGCATAGAAAGCACTTTAAAAAAAATTAATTGGATGTTGAATTTTCTCCATTTCAAAAAAATGACCCACAACAAGATTCTCAACTGGAATAGTTATAGTTATATCACTTGAATTACATCACTATGATTTTAAGTAAGGACCATTTAAACTGTTGTTTAAAGGTTTTGATATGGATGTTACAGTACCAGGTTGGCCTTTAAAGGACTAGAAAAAGCCACTCCCCACACTCCAGGTCTGAACAATTCTATGCCCATGTACACCCTTGACAAGCAGGGCACAGGCTGGATTTCAGGGTCCACTTACCCTGGACAAGTCACCTTTGTTTAGGTCATAACCCTGTTTGCTACTCTTGGGGAAAACTTATTTACTACTCTCCAAATGTTGTTTTAGAACAAGTTTGCTTACATGATTGAGTTTTTATACACAACAAATTAAATAGTTTTGCATCAAACGCCTTCAAGCCTCTAAGAAATATTTAGGTTGAAAGTTATAAAAATTTGAGCTCCATATAGGTCCACACTGGGTCTGACTTGTTCGACTTTGCATTTTATTATCCAGCATAGTGTTATATAGTGAATTATAATAAATATGTATTGAATGAATGAATAAATGATAAACATTCATTGAATGAGTGAATAAATATATGATAAGTGAAACAAAGCATGAGTTTAAGTTTCAACATTCCTTAGGAGTTTGGTTAAATCTCTGAGCATTGCATTTCCATCATTGAAGAGGGAATCATTCTGATTACATCATAAGACATCACAAAGATTTACATGGGAATATAATAAGAAAATATTTTTTCGATAGGTGAGATATCCAAACATGTGACTATAATAATAATTATTTAAAATGTCAGTTGTATTTTCTTGAGTCTATTATTTGTAGAATTTCTAGACTATATGCAACTTAATTCATTATCTGATTTACATAATCCACAATAAGCAATTTGCTGTTTTTTTTGTTGTTGCTTCAAAGTAACATTAGTGGTGAGACATGTTTTCTTAAATAGCATTTTACGGTGTTATCTAAATGTTCAAGCAATTCTGAGAGGTAGCTATGAGCCCATTTTATAAAGAAACAAAGGTTAAGAGTTCTGGATCTAGCATAACTGACCTTTTAATCATAGAAGCATTTGTTTAGCATAGAAAGGCCGAAAGACTTAAACATGTGGGTCAATCTGGAATCTTTCACAGGAGATCAGAAGCTGTGGAAATCTGCTGACGGTAAGCAGTCTTATTACGTCTCTGAAATAAGCCTGCGATTGCTGTGAACTTGGAGTGATTTTATGATTTTTAATATTTGGGTTTACAGAATCAAACTATAAGCACACAAATCATATAAGCACACCCTCGGTACAGCAGGTGTAACTGATAACACGGAAAATAGATGGCCACCTTGGTTACTCTCTATGTATTGGTCTGATCAGAACCTTCATTATCAAAACTAGTTTGTCAGGATCCATAACATGTATCAAGCAATTCTGAGAAATGAATAGAAAATAAATAGGAAAAATAAAAACCCTACTTCATGATATTACATAAAGGCATCTCCCAGCTCTTCAACTTTGAAAACCTACTCATTGATCTGAAGGTCTCTTACTGTGGTACACCTAGAATTCTTCGTATCATATTGTGGTTGTGTACATGTTTATTTGCCCTTCAAGACTATAAGCTTCCTGAGAGTAGGAACTGTGCATTATTCTTTTTTTTTTCTAGTCCACCTCACACTTCTTTCCAATACTGAGATCAGTTCCTTACTGGGCGTCATTCAATATATATGGATGAAGTTGGCTGCTCACCCAATGGAAAGCTTAAAAACTCTTTTTTTTTTGGTATCAACTTTATTAATACAATTCACATACCGCACAATTCATCCATTTAAAATATACAGTTCTGGCCAGGGGTGATGACTCACATCTGTAATCCCAGCACTTTGGGAGGAGGAGAGGATTGCCTGAGCCCAGAGGTTCAAGACCAGCCTGGACACACTGGTGAGACCTCATTTCTATAATAAATTAAAAAATTAGCCAAGAATGGTGACACACATCTGTAGTTCCAGCTACTCGGGAGGCTGAAGCAGAAGGATCACCTGAGCACATCTGGGCAAGGCTATGGTAGCTTTGAGTGTGTCACTGCACTCCAGCCTGGGCAATAGTGAGACGGCAACTCAAAAATAAAAGTAAAAATAAAAAAATACTCAGTTCATGTGTTTGTGGTATATTCATGGAGTTGTGCAACTTATTACCACAGTCAATTTTAGAACACTTTATCACTCCCCCAATATAATCTCATACCCTATACTCTTTAGATTTCATAACCCTCTTCTCCTCATCCCTAGTCAAACTAATCTATCAAAAAATAGTTACCTCTCAGTGTTGCTGTCTCTAAAGATGTGCCTACCTGGGACATTTCTTATAAATGCAATCACATAATATGTGTTTAAACTTATTCTAGAGACAAAACCCCAAACAAATTTAACCATGTAAATTCTGTTTTGCACTTTTGTCATGTTCGTTTGACATGCTATACAATTTCACATTTTTTCAACCTGTTGATCTTTTAAAACAAGATCTAGTTTAAGTATTTTAATTGTAAACATTATTCTTCTATTTTTAAAACATTTTTTTGAGTTGGAGTGTCACTCTGTCACTGAGACTGGAGTGTGGCGGTACACTCACAGCCATCGCAGCCTTGTTGCCAAGCGGCCCAGACTGGTCTCGAACCCCTGGGTTTAGGCAATTCTCTTGCCTCTGCCTCCCAAAGTGGTTGGATTACAAGGGTGAGCCGCCATGCCCAGCCTTCTAATTTTAAACTTGAACAATGGGAAAAGGCCTTGTATGATTACTGTTGTAATGTATGGCCATGTAAAAGTGCAGATTGTTACTTAGTGTCTTCAGGTTCAGCATTCCCTTTAACTCCTTCACGGTGGCATCGATGTTTGTTAGCTCGTTGTGCTGCAGCATGAGTATATGCAATGAAGGCAAAGAATGCAGGCCTAAAAGAAACCAAAGCATTTAACTCAATTTTAAAACTTATTTTTGGTTTAGTATTTATTTCTTAACTGACTCATAAACATTTTAACGCTAATGAGCATGCTAACTAAACAAAAGGAAAAAAAACCTATGATAGCTGGTGAAGGAAGAAGAACTATTAATAATATTGTGAATTTTTTGTTTTGTTTTGTCGCCCAGGCTGGAGTGCAGCAGCACGTTCATGGCCACCGCAGCCTTGGCCTACTGGGCTCAGGTGATCCTTCCGCCTCAATACTGTGCATTATTATTGCTATTTTTATTTGAGTTGGAGTCTCACGCTGTTGCCCAGGCTGGAGTGCGGTGGCACGCTCACTGCCACCCCAGTGCCGCCCTACTGGACTCCAGCGATCCTTCCGCCTCAACCTTCCAAGTAGCCGGAATTACAGGTGTGCGCTAACACGCCTGGCTAATTTTTGATTTATTGTAGAGCCGAGGGCTCACCAAGTTGCCCGGGCTGGTCTCGAACCCGCGGGCTCAGGCAATCCACTCTCCTCAGCCTCCCAAAGTGCTTACAGGTTTTACAGGGATTTCAGGTTGAGCCACTGAGCCCGGCCAATAATGTGAATTATTACGAATGCAGTGAAGCTTAAGAATGCAAATACTTGGAGGTTGAGATGGGAGAATCACTTGAACCCAGGAACTCCAGGTTACAGTGAGCTATTATCACATCACTACACTTCACCTGTGTGACAAGCTAGACTCTGCCTCTAAAAATAAAATAAAATAAAAAAGATAACGGGAGAAGACCTGTGTGACCTTGGGTTTGGCAATGAGATTTTAGATACAATATCAAAAGCATGAATCATGAAAGAAATAAACCAATAAGCTGGATTTCATTGAAATTGAAAACTTCTGCTCTGTGAGAGATACTAAGAGACTGAAAAGACTAGGAGAAAATACCTGCAAAACACATATTTTATAAAGGACTAGTATTTAAAATATACAAAGAATTGTTAAAATGCAACGATAATAAAACAAACAACTCCCCTCCAAAAACAATTCAAATACTTGTGATGGAGTGCAGAATCCATTTCTTTCTGCTGTTATTATTTTATTTTTTTTCTGTGTAGCAACGATTTTGTTCTTTTGATTTTGGAAGGGTTATTTTCTTTCTTCTGTGTGTTTGGTTTTGAGTTTGGGTGGGTTTTGTTTTGTTTTGCCCGTGTTACTTTGATTTATATTGCTAATTAAGGGAAAAATTACTCATCTAGTTCAGTGGCTTCCTCCAGATTGCTCAGCTAAATATTCCTTTACATAATAGGAAGCCAGATATTCACTTCATTTTTGTTGATTCTAAATTGTGCATTTTCTCACATTTTAAACATAAATAGAAGTGGGATGTGTTTTTCTGATTGCCATGTCATAGTTGAGGACTAAACTCTGATCTTTTTTCTTAACTTTGACACATTCCTAATTAAGGGGTTTGGGGAGATGGATTTTTTAAAATTAATCCCCCCTATATAAGGTGGTTTACTTTCCAGCCTAACTCTGGCATAACATCACGTAACAGATAAAGAAGAAAAATCAAAGTATTTTGTGACCACATAAAGCTGCCTATTAGGGACTCCCAAACTCAGGACATCTTTTGAGACACTTCTCTCTGAAGTCTGCCACCTATCAGGCTTCATCTATATGTTAAAAAAACTTAGAATTTTTCTACCCCCTTATCTCAACAAGACATCTCTTCTACTGATTTCAAAATTTCTTAGATAAGAGCCTGACTCTCACTAACTAGTTGCCAGCCAGAAGATCTTTGAATCCACCTATAACTTGCAAGACTCTGCTTGGGGATATCCTGCTTTCCTGAGCTGAACCAGGGCACGTTCCACATGTATGGATTTATGGTTTTCTATATCTTTCATTGTCCTAACATGTATACAACCAAGCTACAATTCAACCAGGGCAGGCATGTGTTTTCGGGACCTTCTGGGGACGAGTGTTATGAGACTAAGGTAACTCACATTTGGCTCAGAATAAAACATCTCACATATTTTATGTCTTGTCATTTTTTAAAACATACTTTTATCGGCAAGATTTGCTTTCTTAGTGGTTCATGAAATCATGGCCTGTCTTAATATTTGACATTTTGATTCTATGACATATGATATTAAAGGAAAATGTTTTCACTATGCCTTTTTATGTCTCATGATCATGGCACATCAGATACTTTCATACTTGACTTGAAATTGTCAGATTTGAGATTATCACACAAATAAAATTAACTCAATAAAACTTTTAAGACTAAAAGTTTTTATATTTATTAATGCTCCAAAACATTTTCAAAATTTGGTTCCACATATCTAGTTTGTGTCCAACATTTCTGTTAAAATTCTTTTACATGTTAAGACAATATTCAATCAGAAAAGCAGTCTAACAGCACATTTCTGAAAAAAGTATACATAATAAGAACATTAAAAGTAGATTTTGTCACATATTTTCAGCAGAAATGTTAAGCAGACTTTTGTATGTCAGTAGACTTTTGTATGTCATTAGCAATTACCATTGTTGAAAGTTATTACTTCATTGAACATTGAGGAAATCAACAGAAAAAATTTAAGACATACCTTCTATCTCAAAGATTGCATTGTTGTTTAGATATAGTTCTGTCAGACAGTAATTTCTAGTTAGAAATGTTATTCCATGGAGCTGAAAATGAGAGGTAGAGAACAATATATTTTCTATAATAATTATATATATTTAATTATAATAGACCATAGAAGTTTGACCTTTGGAGTTATTACTATGTGTGATCTTTTGGTCTGGATATAGTTACTTCTGGGTCGCCTTTTAGGAGAGTGTAGGGGAAAGGATATTTTTAGCTAAGTTAGAACAAATCTCTCTTAACATATCTTAGTCAAACTCCTTTGCTAGACTTTCAAAGCCTCCATAATCTGGCCTAGCCCTTTCACTCTAACATTTCTCCCAGTACTGCACCATACTGTTTGGTTGACTCTCCACACATGCGTGAATCCTCTGTCTAATATTGTTCCATGTCAAGGACTCCTCAGGTGATGATGAGGCCATTTCTGCATCTGTACAAGTCCTGCTTTCCCTTTGCCTGTATGTCTTTTCTTCTTGGCACATTTCTGATTATTATTATTATTATTTTGAGTTGGAGTCTCACTCTGTTGCCCAGACTAGAGTGCAGTGGCCGCTCCCGGCCACCGCAGCCTCAACCTGCTGGGCTCCGGTGATCCTTCCGCCTCAGCCTTCCGAGCAGCTGGAACTACAGGCATGCGCTACCACGCCCGGCTGACTTTTTGATTTATTGTAGAGATGAGGTCTCGCTGCCCAGGCGGGTCTCGAACACGCGGGCTCAGGCAATCCACTCACCTCAGCCTCCCAAAGGCACGGGATTACCACCGGGCTGAGCCACCGAGCCCGGCTCTGATTATTTTTAAGGACCAGCCCTAGGCCAGCAAGGCATAACACACTGTGTATGAGTGGACCACCCACCACAGTAGGTGAACACCGTTCCAGAAATCTGTTAAAACCCCTCCACTGATCTCCTTGTGCCTCACTCCTGTCTCTGCTCTATCTTGATCCACGTTTTGTGTCTCTAAACTTCTACCTGCTTCAACTCTTTGAATCAGATTTCTGAACAATTGTCTAATTCTGAGCTCTCTTTCTTGACACCCTGGTCTGTAAACCATCTCTTCTTCTGTGACTCATGGTCCTCCTGGTAAGTAGACCTCAGGTTAGCCAAAGGCTCTGTTATCTGAAGAGACACAAGAGGCAATTCTGCCATGTCAGGCCAGGCTCTAACAGTACAGCCAGCTACCAGCCACAGGGAGAGGGAAGGGCCAGCATAACCCTGCGTGTCGTTCACAGTTCATCGTTTTTCACAAAGCCTTTTCTGACAACTCCTGTACTCATGAAACCCAGATGCTCTTGTCCATCCCAAATGCTTAATTTGCAAAATCAATCACTTGATCACTAGAGTTTTGTGTCTTCCTTAAGGAAAGGAACCCCATTTCTTCAGCATCTTATCCCTTCCACCTCTCCACTCTCATGGTGAAGTGGCATTTTTTTTTTTTTTTTTGAGACAGAGTCTCACTCTGTCACCCAGGCTAGAATGCGGTTGCTCAATCATAGTGCACTGTGGCCTCAACCTCCTAGGCTCAAGCAATCCTCCCGCCTCAGCCTCCCCAGTAGCTGAGATTATAGGTGCATACCACTAAACCTTGTTAATTTGTGTGTGTGTGTATATGGTTTGTGTGTGTAGGAAGAGGGAAAGGATCTTACTATGTTGCTCAGGTTGGTCTTGAACTCCTTTCCTTAGGCAATCTTCCTTCCCCAGCCTCCCAGTGTGCTACAATTACAGGTTTGAGCCATTGTGGCCAGTGACGTTACATCTTACTTTTAAGATTAGACTTAAAATTCGGTGAGTATGAATGGAAATAGTCAAAAGTACTTTTCTTAAATTCCTCAAGTGAACCATTAAGTACTATATCCATGATATGGGATATTTTGGGTACTCTGTACAAAAAACTCTATTGTTTTGGTTTTGCTTTGTTTGTTGTTTTTGTAGAGATGAGGTTCTCACTATATTGGCCAGGCTAGTCTCAAACTCCTGGCCTCAAGTGATCCTCCCACCTCAGCCTCCCGAAGTGCTGGGATTACAGGCATGAGCCACCAAGCCCAGCTTTGTTTTTTGTTTTGAATCGGGGTCACAAGTAGTATGATCCTACCTCATTGCAGCCTCAAACTCCTGGACTCAAGCAATGCTTCCTCCTCATCCTCCTGAGTAGTTGAGACTACAGGAGCACACCACTGTACTCAGCTAATTTTTTGATTTTTTTTTTTTTTGTAGAGACGAGGTCTCACTGGTCTCAGACTCCTGGGCTCAAGCAATCCTTTTGCCTCAGCCTCCCAATATGCTGGGATTACAGACGTGAGCCACTGCACCTGGCCTTCTTTTTTTCTTTTTAAAATATTGATTCTATATTAAATCTTTGATAAGATTTAACAGACTTGTTCGAATTGTGAGGATCAGATATGGTAGAGCCATAAAAGAGGGCCAGGTACGTTCTAAGAACAGCAGCTAAGTTAAATGTAAGAGTGATACCTTTATTATTTCATATTGGATCTAGCAGAGAGAAGATGCTCCTAAAATTGTTATTGGTCAAGTATTTAGCACATTATCCATACCGAAACATAGGCTCATAATTGTAAGTTCATTTTTTGTGTTTTCCAAAGCTTATCATAGGAATTATTATTAACAGTTAAGTAGAAACATTGAGGGATAGATTCAGATAATAGATGACAACCTATCTGACTTAGAATTTATTGAAGTTTTACTCCATCCCCTCTCATGTCTCAGAAAACCCATTTTAGATTTGTATTCAAAGTTTGAAAACTGGTTTCTTTGATGAGTTTTAATTTTTTTCTTATACTGGCAACATTCATAATTACAAAGCTATAAAAGGCACACGTGTTGTTCATCACATCACTTTACAGACTTATCTCCACCAAATTATGCCCGCACTCCTCCAGAAAGACCACCAGGAATCTCACCACAGCTTTTGTTAAGTGGGGAGAGGAGCCATATTTCCTCAGGTAGAAGAAACCACCAGAAGCACAGAGGTAAAGATCCAAGTTGACTTCTTATCCCTTTCTACTTTTCCTACTCAATTCCTGGCAGCCATTTACTGCTTCCTGTCCTCCTTCCTACCACTCCCGGCTTTAATAGCAGCCACACTTGACATCAGCATAGGAAAAGAACACCAGTGGAAATCATGACTTTTTCTTTTCTCCTCCTCATTACCTGTTAACCACATGTTCATAGAACATTACTAATTAGTTGAGGCTTCATCTTGTGTCACTCGCTAACACAAGGAAAACACTAATAAACTTGACAGTTTGATCTCAATCACAGAATCATCATTTTCCCATAAGCATTAACATCCTTGGACCAAGGTTATTGGGATCAGAAGAATGTGCCATTTGTTGAGAGGAAAGAGGTGGGGGGATAGGGTGGAAAGAGGAAAAGTCAGATCATGAGGACCTTGGGGGGATAGTAAATGATCTTGTGCAGAGGAAGGTTACTCTCAATTGGATTTTGGAAAGAAAATGGCAGAGTAGAACACAGGTTAGAGAGGATAGTAAGCACAATGGCAGGAGATGCATAAGAAGATTGTTATCTTAATTCAAAAGAATAGATGGTGGCCCAAAGTAAGTAATGGTGGTAGAAGAAGAAAGAAGTGCAGGAAATTAAGAGATAATCAAGGGAGAATTCACAGGACTTAACCAACTTTACAATATAGCAAGTTCTTAAAGTCAGCAATGGGAATTAGAAGACAGGTCGATTGCTCTGCTACTCAAACCACTATTAAAGTAAAATGTTATTCTAACTATTCATTTGGAAAAATATCCATACTATTGATGCTGAGGATGGTTGCATTTTTATTTGATGTTATATTTCACAGATCAGATATCTTAGCTTTAGGCCTGGCACATAGCAGGTGCTCAAGAAATGATTACTTATTATTTAACCATTATTATTATTTTCATAGATCTGGAAACTCTTATATTTAACATGAGGCACTTACAAGTAATCACTGAGAGCCGGGCTCGGTGGCTCAGCCTATAATCCCACGCCTTGGGAGGCTAAGGTGTGTGGATTTCCTGAGCCCGCGGGTTCGAGACTCGCCTGGGCAACTTGGAGAGACCTCATCGCTATGATAAATAAAAAAATTAGCCGGACGTGGTAGCGTGCACCTGTAATTCCAGCTACTTGGAAGGCTGAGGAGGAAGGATCGCCAGAGCCCAGCAGGTCGAGGTTGCGGTGGCTGGGAGTGGCCACTGCACTCCAGTCTGGGCGACAGAGTGAGACTCCAACTCAAAAAAAACAAAAAAACAAACGAAAAAAAGTAATCACTGAGTTACTACTAGGGGAAGATGTATGCCATCACATATTTAAATTAAAGAGGTTTTTTTGTTTTTGTTTTTGTTTAGAGCTGGTTTTCTCAACCTCTATAATTATCAGCATCCTGGACCAGACATTTTTTTAAAAATCAGGGTCTTACTCTGTTGCCCAGGCTAAAGTGTGGTGGCATAATCATGATGATCACGGCTCGTGGCAGCTTGACCTTTTGGGCTCAGGCAATAGTTCTACCTCAGCGTCCTGAGTAGCTGGGACTACAGGCACGCATGCCTGGCTGATTTTTTGGGGGGAGGTGGGGCAGACAAGTTTTCACTGTGTTGCCCAGGCTGGTCTCGAACTCCTCGAACTCCTGGGCTCAAGCAATCCATCCACCTGGCTTCCCAAGGTGCTGGGATTACAGGCATAAACCACTGTGTCCTGCCAGGCAATTCTTTGTTGTCTTGGCTATATGGAGGTTATGTTGGGGATTGTAGTATATTTAGCAGCATCCCAGTCTCTCCTCCCTAGGTGCCAGTAGCATGGTCACCCAGGAAATGACAATCAAAAATGTCTCTAGATATTGCCAAGTGCCCTGAAGTGTGAAATAACCCCTAGTTGAGAAATGCTGATTTATCAGCAAGAGAAGAAAGGATACTTTTAAGTGCTTATTATTAGCTGGACATTAAACTAGATATGTTCACAGACATTATCTGATATGATCCCTCCAAAAGCCTCAGTTATTTATTTTATTCCCAGTTTACCTGGGAGGAAAGTGAGGCTC